GGCCACAGATGTGTGAATATGTTCGCCACTACGTTAAATCCTGCACTACCTGTGGACATAACAAAACACCTAGACACTGCCCTTTTGGCTTACTCAAACCTCTGCCGGTCTCAGAACACCCATGGGATTTCATTTCTATGGATTTCATCGAACAACTACCAGATTCCAATGGATTCACTGCCATCCTCGTAGTCGTTGACCATGCAAGTAAGCAAGCAATTTTCATCCCTACTCATGACACCATCAACTCCGAGGAGCTTGTCTGGTTATTCGTTAACCATGTGTTCACTAAGCATGGTGTTCCCAACCATATAACATCTGACCATGGCTCCGAATTTGTCTCCCAGTTCACGTGCGCTCTTGCCAAAGCTTTGGATATGGAGCTTCACTTCACTTCTGGATATCACCTGGAGGCTGACGGACAAACTGAACGTGCTAACCAAACTCTGGAACAGTACATCTGTATCTACTGCTCCTACCAAGAAGACAATTGGGATACCTTACTCCCCATTGTCGAGTTTGCTTACAACAATGCTCCCAATGCTTCCACCAGAATCTCCCCATTCTTTGCTAACAAAGGCTATCATCCTAATATCACCATGCATCCTGAACGCGATATCACCTCCACTCAGGCCCGTGACTTCATCGTTAACCTCGATGAGCTCCACCAATTCCTTCGAGATGAAATCACTTATGCTCAATCCCATTATAAATTCCAAGCGGACAAGTGACAGTCCCCAGCTCCTGAATTCAAGATAGGCGACAAAGTCTACCTCAGTTCCAAACATATCAGGACTACTCGCCCTACTGCGAAATTTGCCGAGAAATTCCTAGCACCATTCAATATCATTGCTCAGCCCAGATCCCATTCCTTCACTCTCAAACTCCCATCGGACCTCCGCTCCATTCACCCTGTATTTCATGTCTCCCAACTTGAATCCGTGGAGACCAATACTATCCCTAACCGTACCCAACCTCCTCCACCTCCAGTTGAAGTTGACGGTGAAGAACAGTATGAGATATCTCAAATCCTCGACTCTAAACTTGGCCGTCGGTTCTGCTGTCCACTCCTATACCGAGTCCAATGGTTGGGTTATGAAGGTACCAATGAAGAGTTTGCCTGGATCCCTGCTACAGAATTCTCCACGGACGAATATATCGAAGACTTCCACCAACATTACCCAGACAAACCAGGACTGCTATTCAAAGTCACCATGCACAAAGCCTCCCTCAAACCCTCGCCCATTGTTTCTTGACCTACCCATAACTTATCGGCTCCCTACGGTCTCTGATCCTCGAATTTCAAATCAAATCCTGGAAAACTATTGCAAATTACCTTCCTAATTGGGAATGGAACCCATTGGATGTCTATTTCTTGCCTTCCTTCTCCCTCTTACTCCCTCAAGCCTACAAGCCAAGATATATAATTATTGCCACTAGGGCCTACACTATCAAAAACATGTACAACAAGACAACATCCAAAAAATAATGCAAGTCCAAGGGTGCCTAGGATTCCATGTGCACCAACTCTCCCATCACCACATCCTCGTCCACCCTATCTTCCCTTCCACTTCCTTCCTCCTCCTCATCACTCATGACAATAAGCTCCAGCTCATCCAGTGCCGGAACTCTGATGGCACCTGCACCCGGGCACATCTCATCCCTCCTCTTCTCCTCGGGATCCAATTCCCCTTCAGAATCCTCTACCAAAAACTCCTCTGCATCATCCAAATACCTCTTCCACAATGCTCACTCAATCCGACGGCCTCCGAGCGCATAGAACTTGTCCCTTGTGTCCAAGAAATGGTCATGATGTTTGATGGCCAATTGAAGACCGTCCTTCCCGAGACAGCCATACCAAACTTGCATGTTGGCGACCTCAAAGGGATCCACTGCGTCGAGAGTTTTGGTACCCATCACATGGGCATTCCACATCTGGGCAATGTCCTTGTCAAGTCACGTACGCATCACAATCCATAGGGCCTCTGAGTTCATGTTCTTGAGGTTTCTGAGCTCGACCTTAGATGCCGCCCATTCCTCCCTAAACTCCTCCTCGACAAAATCCGACGGCCATTCCGGAGCATCACCCTCATGAAAATCATCAACCAAGTCATCAACGCGGCTTCCGAGGAAATCCACCTTTCCCTCTACCCTCTCCAAGCCTTCCTGAAAATCGTCCATCTTGTCGCAAAGTTTTTGTAGGAGGTCAATGACCTCACTGGACCCCGTGGATCCCAAACCTTCACCTTGTGGAAACATGCACTTGCTCTTCTTCAATTTGCACCATTCGCAAGTACGCCCATGGCGAATGAAACATTTTACATCGTCCGCCTTACAACATCCACAATGCTCTATGCACCGTCAGCAAAATAGCCGGAACCCATGGAAGAACCTACCATTATCCTTATATTCCTCATCATCTGCCTGCATCTCAGGCTCGGTCTTCAACTTCTTCAACGGCTGCCCCAACGGCCCTGTGACTTCCTCCTCTCCACTCAATACCGCCGCACTGGACTTGGCCTTCCTCTTCTTTGAATTCCCTGTGGCCTCCAAATCTGTCGCCTTACCCTTACCCTTCCTATCCTTCCTCTGCTTTACCAACTTTTTTAACGCCTTCCCCTTCGGGTCCTTCTCCCGCTCGTCATCTCCATCGGACCCGCTACCAACCTTGCTCCCCTCACTCCCATTGCCACCTTCCTTCTCCTTTGCCTGCTCCTTCTCAGCCTCTGCAGCCTTCTGAGCCTCCAAGGCCTTGGCCTCATCCGCTAACTTCTTCTCTGTGGTTTTCCTCTCCTCCAAAGCCCTTGCCTCTTCTTCCAATCGCTTCGCCTCTGCCTCTTCCTCTTGTCGCTTCCTCTCCATGGCCTCCTGCTCCTCCTGCTCCTTTTTTGCCTTGGCTTCAGCAACCCGCTTCTCCCATGCCAACTTCTTCTCCCATCTCTCCAACTCCTGGGCCTGTTTCTTCTCCTCCTTCAGCTTTTGTGCCTTCCAAGCTTCATGGGCCTCCGCGGCGTCCTCCCTCGCTTTTTCCGTGGCATCCCGCTCATTGAAGAAAACTTCTAGTTTTTCTGGGCAAAGATTGTCGGGTGTCAGGGTGGGCTCATAGGGCTCAGGAGTTACGGACAAACGATACTCAGCGTTAGAGGACATAGCAAATGTTGATGACAGAGTTAGGAAAAGACACAGAGATGGTGGTGGTTACAGGTCAAGAGTTGAAAACTCACATGACCAACCAGAAAAAATTCCATGCGGACACACTCGGCCATCAGGATCTGCATCCTTGAGGGCAAGAATGCTAAGGGGGGGATACTGTAATGAGCATGCCAACGGAAACCTGACTTCCACTCAACCCAACAAACCACAGCCCGGAAACCTTCAGATTCTGATTCCCAGTTTCTATTTCATATTCTATTTCATATTCCATTTATATTTCACTTCTCCATATTAATTTATCAATAGCCTGACATCGGTAGCAAACATGTTATCAGACCCCATCAGCTACCGACCGGTAGAATACATCCTCCGACAACCCTAGAATGTAGACTACTCTGAGTAGGAACTATATTGGACTCCTAACTAGTATATAAGCCTTAGAATTATACTGTAGATACTCAGTTCAAATATCAACTTGGTTCAGCCCAATTTCTCTCTCTGACTCTTAAGTCACACTCTCGTTCTCCAGTCCGTGGAACTCTGATCCGTTGGACTTATCTCTTGCCTTGTCTCTGCCACTCCACGGACTTCTGTCTGTATCCATCTTAGGGCTTTGGCTCAGGGGTGACATTGCTAATAGCTTCACCTACACCCGACGCATCTCGCGGCATTCCGCTACGTGAACTTTCTGCTGCAATCCTATTGGCACGATCCTAACAGTCTATCTCTATCTAATCTTTTATCTTAATGCTAGGACTCTTAGTCATTTACCTTACATCATCACCATGCCTTTACTGAGATGACTCTGGCAATCTACTGTGACATACAGACATCTTATTCTTTTTATTGTTTCACACATAGTTACTAAACAAACATTGTATTGTAGTTCTATTATTAGCATACTCAAAACTATACATAAGTAGCCTCAGCTATGGCCTTGAGCTCCAGCTTCAGTCTAAAGTTTATTCTACCCAACTTGTATTAAACTCACTCTTTGCAATCTTGACTTAGTTGTTATACTGAAACTCACATTGCTTACAACATTGGTGATTGTCCAAACACAAGACAGCCTGGTTGTGTGATCTTATTTGTTAAAGTTGGTTGCTAACAGGCTTAAGGATGTTAGCAAAGATTATAATATTGTCTAGTGTGATGAGGCTGAGCAAGCTGTCTCATATGTCTCAGTTCAGTATATGCAGGTTGTCCTGAACTGTTCATCATGTGAGTATAAATGTAATCCAGCTTTTGCAACAGTGTACTTTTATCAACATGTGTGCTGTAGCATCCTCAGTTAATCATTATGTGAAAAAGGAGGTTTTTGATCTTTGGATGTAGTGTGTTGGTGATACAATAGCTGAGCATATCTGTATGAACATATCTGATAAAGGTCTTCCAAAGGCTCACAGAGGAGATAAAGTGGCCACTGTAGCACACAGAATGGTTCAATGTCAGGATGTAGTGATATATGTTAGTCTTCATGAGACTGGTGATGAGGAGTTGTCAGGTTGCATGAAACACAATTGTAGGCACTCACAATCATATTATATTGTCCAGAAATACCATTTTTGCTCAAAAGTGCTTTTGAATATCTTTGATTGTCTTAAAATGAGTGTGATAGTAATCTCTATAAAGGTTACAATTGCATAGTGAATACCTTTAATGTAAGACTGGATATGCTGACACCATCCCAGAAAGTGTGGCACCAGATACTCATCTGGCATCACATAGGCATGATATGAATGAAACAGAAGTGCTATGGCTCAAAGACATGCAGGTGTCTGATGGATAAGCACCTCTTCAAAACATCAGATGATGCAGAGGATATGATGAGGAGACTTGACTCATGAGAACATAAAACCAGAAAAGACTGCAAGTGTAATGATTGCCATGATGACCAGCTACACAAAGGATGTGAGAACCTGAACAAATGTGCACAGATGGCTAAACACCTACTAAATGGCCTGGCAGAAAAATGGGACTCCCAAAGACCAGATCAGAATGATCAGCTGAGTTTGACCCCAGAGGAGAAAGCATAAAATCAAAAGGCAAGAGAGGAAAATAATTTGATATGCTTTGACTCTGATATTGATCAAGAGAACTCGCTATCAGACAGAATATGCATCTTCACATCAGGATGGGATACATGCTCTAGGCCTGCACAGAGGGATGACACAACAGACAGGCATGATGATGGAGCAATCACCATTTCTATAGCCTATACAGATGGCAGCACCTATGATAATAGCACAGCAAATGCACAAGCCAGGGCTGAAGTCTGGTTTGGAGAGGGTGATAAACAAAATATCCATGTACAACTCCCAGGGCCATACCAGATGAACAATGCAGCTGAGATATGTGCAGTTCTTGAAAGAGTTCTAGTGGCAGTCCAAGAAGAAACCATACTAACAATTTTCAACCCTAAATATGTGATAGAGGGCCTGTGCTTCCATCTGAAATGCTGGGAAGATAATGGATGGATGAGAGTGTCAAACAGTGATGTCTGGAAGGCAACAGTAGCAGCACTGAGGCAGTGGAGAGCCCCAATATTCTTCCAGTGGACAAAAGGACACAATGGAAATGAAGGGAATAAAGGAGCTGATGCACTGGCAGAAAAAGGCATGCAAGTAAATGAAGACAGTGCTACACCTGCAGACATAGAAATAACTCATGAATTTGATGTGGAAGGTGTATGACTGTCAATGATGTCTCAGAGCTGGGCATACCAACATATACAGAGTATAAGAGAGATAGAGGAATGGTGGTCTGCTCAGAACATGGTCCAGCAAGTACTGGCAACTGTCACTGACATCAATGGAGTAGAGCTGATCCCATCAAGACTATGGAAGTCCATCTGACATAAGGATGTCTTGAGACCTATGTGAGGGTTTCTGTGGAAAGCATTGTAGAGCACCTTCAAGATTGGGGCTTTCTGGGAGTGATTAGGCCTTCAATATGCAATGATCGGTGAATGCCCAGGATGCAGAGTGCAGGAATCTATAGAACATATATTGGTCAAGTGCTCTATTACAGGGCAAGCTACTCTGTGGAGCCTTGCCAGAGAATTATGGGAGAAGAGAGGACAAAGATGGATCCTCCCCATGTATGAGGTCGCTTTAGGAGGCACACTCATACAGATCAGAAAAGAAGATGGGACAGTTGATAGGCTGGCAACATGGCTATATCAGATTCTAGTGATGGAGATAGTTCACATGATATGGAAAATACGATATCAGTGAAGGATCCAGAAGGGTGATGAAGACCTGATACAATGGCATACTGAGGATAAGATCCAGAACCTCTGGATAGACACCATGAATAAGAGGCTGATGGTTGACCAGTTATTGGCCAACAGGAAGAAGTACGGCTCGAGAGTGATGGCAAAGGCCAAGATACTTGTCACATGGAAGGGCATGCTGCAAGATGAGAAGAGCTTGCTGGAAGATTGGATAGATCAAGGTGGGGTTTTAATGGGTATCATGCCAGTCTGGTGGAGGCCAAGAGGCAGGTACCAAGCCTCATATAAACTAGGATAGTTGTGTGTAATGTATTTCCTCGTATAGACCTCCCAGTTTGGCTTCTCGATTAGGACATCTCTCTCTCTCCCTGGGCACACCCCACACCCAAATAAGCGATCCAGATTAACATAGTTAATTGCGGGCTGCTATGGACATTGTGACATGTTCTACAAAAAATAAATAAATAAATAAATAAAAGTTACAATTGTTTTTTTTAGCCTTTTTATGTTCAAAGATTGTCCACAGCTTCTCTCCATATAATGGTGATATGTGAGTGGGCATACTATATGAGTCACAATGAGAATGCATAGTAGAATATATAAGACCACAAAGGCCTCAGCTTATGGCATGATGAGGATATGCTGGCAGTTACCTTACACTCTGCTCCTTTGCAATTTTGTTCAACATATGTTTGGTTTTATTGAATGTGAAAAGATCTAATGTGAGACTCCTTTGGCAAGGGTAAGTAGATTTCTTGACATTGAATTTTGATACCTTACTTCTGTTGCAGCAGCTGTTTTAGCACTGTACCCTCTAGAGGAAATTTCAAGGCTATTGAGGACTTGCCCATAATCTCTCTATTGAGCTTCTCAAAGCATTAGTTGCAGCATTGGAGTGAGTAGCACCTCAAGATGGCACTTTTCATGACTCTTATGGCAGAATTTGAAAGCTGTATTTAGTGTTTCAGTGAGAATTAACAAATTGTTTGGAAGATCTTACACTGAATTTCAATCACTTTATTGAGAGGGCACAGAACCTCAAGCTCTCACTCATCACTCACTTTGTTGTAGCATCCTATTATCAACACCACTTGCTTTCTTTAGGGTTTAGCTCTCTGCCTCTCTGCCTAAACACCATGGTTCTGAAAAATAGCCTTGAGGTAGTCTGGTAGCAGATTTGTTAGGGATTTTGTGATTCTGTTTTTATTGGAAACAGGCTGACACTTTTTGATGAGTTGTACTTACTCAAGATTGTCATTATCCACCTTTTTACATTTTTGTGCTGACACTGCTGTCTCCATCATCTGCAGTTGATATTATTCAACTGGTGCAAGAATATGATCTGTTATTGAACAAGTCTGGCATGTATGCTTAGTTCTCAGAGCTCTTCATAGTTGTTGAATAGTTTTGTGGAAGATAGATTTTTTGGAAGTGGTGGCATATGTTTATAACTCTCAGCAGGTTTCATATCAGGGATGTACTTTTTGTACTTATGACTTTTTATGTTCTCCTTCAACATTTCTGTTGTTGCCCCCTTGTTTGTCATGCTCTGGCTCATCCTTCACACTGTTCTCTTGTGATGTCTGTATACTGGCCTTGAGGTTCTCATCCATATTAACATCTTCATCTATTTTATGAGGTGGTTTGGTTGGCTCATCATCATTTAGGTGGAGTTGTCCTTCCAGTCCCAAGTTGTCCATATTGCTGTCTAGTTGTGACATTGATGTACTTGCATTGCTCCTGATGATGAGTCATCTATGTTGCTATTGAGGTCTAACATGTGCATACTGGTCTGTCTTCATTCTACTGCTGAGTTATTCTGCTTCTCATCTGTGTCACCAATTTAGATTGATGTCACTTTCTCTATCCAGTGGACTATTATCATAGTCAACTGTACTATGGTCATAAGGATCTAAGTTAATAAAATTGTTATGCACCAACTTGACAAATAATGTCAAGTAAAAACTGTCACTCATGTTCAGTGAATTAGTATGATGCAGACAAGGTTTGATGTGAGTAGTTAGCTTGTAAGTCCTTAGTCATGAAGCAGAGAGTTCAAGTAAAGTTGGGTGTATATAACTTTAGCTGAAGCTGAGACTTAAGGCCACAGTGGAGGCTGCTTAAATACATGTTAGACTATGCTAATAATAGTACACTACAACAAGTAAAGTATATGGTAATAATGTGTGAAACAAAAAGAAACAACAAGTCACAGTATAATGCCAGAGGTAGCTTGGTAGTGGCATAGTGATGAATAATGGATATTATAAAGAGTCCTGATGCTAAGATAAGATGAAGATAAATGCTGAAGATAAGATACAGGAAAGAAAACTGTAATAAAAATAGTCCAATGAGTAGGCTGGATCATTGAACATATTCTCCACATGTTTGAATTTAGAGATGACATTTAACACAATGTCCTAATAGCTGAGCACAAGTGAGCTTGTGAGGGAAAGACTATCATAATCCTGTATGTGATGACATGAAGGCATTGTGTGAAAATGCTGGTGATAGCAAGGAGTGCATCAAGATACTGCCTGCACCATCCTATTTGACCTGATATTTGATTTTTAAGAGTGTTTGAAGTTGGCACAACTTTGTCTAAGGGTCAAAAGAATAAAGGCCTGTGTTTGTGCCTGGGGATGACACACACTGTAAATCAATGAGGATGAGCATGGCCTGTAAGTCACTGAAATGGTGTTCTTTATTGTGCTCTTCTTTGTTGTGCTCATCTTTCTCATTGCTGCTCTCATTGTCCTGACCACAGTCAATTTCTGGTATGTCTAAAGAGGATAGCATTGACATGAGACCTTGTATTTCAGCAGAGAGTGCCAGTATCTGAGATTCCACTTGTGCAGATTATTCTCTTCTGGTTTCAGGCTTGTAGTGGGAAAAGAAAGTCCTACAAGAAAGAATGTGGACACATCCTCTTTTTTGCAGATGAGTTGTCTCTCTATTAGCTTGAAACAATGCAACAGATTGCTGAAAAAGTTATCAATGATGATGACATTTGCCATAATGCATAGAACATGTATCTATATATTGTTTTATGGCACAGATTCTGTTTGGTCTGGTATAGAGCACAGATCATTAATGTCCATACTACACAGATATGAAGAGATATTAGAGGTGTTCTCCAGTCTGTATTTGCTGTGACTCACAAAAGACATGGTTGTAAGCAGTGGAAATATAATGTGGATGTTCAAGAGTGTTAGTGGTAATATATATACTGCAGCATAAAATATGGCCAGTATACATGTCTCTCAGTGTCTTGATGAGTTGGTTATAGTTTGGGTGTTTCATATATTCACTGTATCCAAAGTTATCATGGGTAAAAAAGAGATAGTGGAGAATAAGTATTCACCTGCTGAGGTCTGTAAAAAAGTGCTCATCACATCCCTAGTGGTGCATTAGTAGTGTTCTGAGAGTACAAGCAACAAGACTTGTCAGTGTAGCAGATCTAAACTGATGACATGAAGGTCAGAACTATAGAGGGTAGGTAAATATAAAAATATGAAGTGAGAATGAGAAACTGTATAAACCTCCTCAGTGCACAAGAGAACAATATAGCAACTGAGAAGAAGAGAGAGGTAAAGATATATATGTAAGTGTCTATCAGATCACATGATAAGCATGTAATCTCTACATGGTACACATACAGAAAAGAGAGAAGTCCATCAAATAAAACTATAGTTGTCAAGCTTTTTGAGGGATGTAAACCATTTAACATAGGGTAAGAATGTGCAGAAAGATGCTGAAACAGTCTGGAAGGGGGAATATAGCCTGGACTTGTGCAGAGTCATGCCTAATTAATATGCCAAGAGCACACACTTTGGATCCCAAGTATATCTAGATCCACCTCCTCTTCAGGCAGTTCTTTTCATACAAGAACTATGTCAAATGCAGCTGGTGTTTCCTTCTTGTGTCCTCAAGCAGGTTGTGGCATTATTGTATGAATGAATAGAGTCTATTGTAATTGATTTCAAGACCTTAGAAGTTGGTAGGATGAAGATACAGAGCATTTGTAGATGCCATATGTAGCTGACTCTGACATCCAAAAATCTGGTGGTACCTTATTGAGATGTCACTAAACTTAAGTGTTATATAAACAGGAATACTTAACAATCATGATAAAATAAAAGCTTGTGCAGCATTATCAGGTTGACATCAATACTAAGCATCTTTCAAAGCAGTTGGTGGCCATAATACATGAAGAAAAAGATCTCTGGGAGGAGAGGCAGTACAAAGAATGAACATGGAAATCAGGCCTAAAAATGAAAGAGCCAATGAGAAGCAAGAGTTGTGTAGCCAATGAGAGCAGCAACAGAAGCAGGTTCTAACATCCACCTGTTGTATAGTAGATGTTTTCTTAAGGAATTCTTTTATAAGCCTCTCTAATATCTGATACTTCTCTTCCATGAGGAGTCTTTTTAGCATCTTCATGTTGTGACAGCAGCTGACAAAGATTAGGTATTCATGATTGCCATCAACTTCTGTGATGAATAGTACACCCATTGGCATAGGAATTAGATCTGGTATTGAGTCCATTATGATGGAAGTTTGGTGGTAAACATGGGAGGACAGTGCAGCATAAAAACTTCTTGAAGTCTCTTCCTCAAGGTCTTTTTGTTTATTTTATCTGTTGACTATTGCTTGATGTACACCACTCCCACTTGGGATAGTGAGGAAGAGCACAGAGATAGAAGGTTCCATTATCTAGGTCTACATCTGCTGGCATACATTGAAGTGCAAGAGGAAGGTCTTTGGGTACTTCCCTAAGATCATCTGGTCAATTGACTTCAATACCATCTTTTAACAGGTTCTGTGCTGGAACTTGGTCTTTCTCTCCAAAGAGGTTGAGGTCTGAAAGTTCTACTTGTTAATATATTAGGTTGTTTTCAATTTAGTGATAAGCTAGACTTATGCTCTGTAAATGGGTTAGCTTCTTGGAAGTGGACTGAAGGTTAGGAATAGATCAGATGAAAGTCCATGCAGATTCAGACGTGTCAGAATGAGCACGTGACCTCAACCTTTTTTGCTTCAGACTTCCAGCATCAGCAAGCAAGCCTCTCCCCTGTATCTATGTTGTGTCTAGCTCATCTCTACCAGCTGGAAAATCGAAATCACAGCATTCCAGATGGCTGAACGACCAAAGAAGTCCGGAAGAACAAAACTTCCAGTGGATCCAGCAAACCTGTGCAAAAGCAAAAGGATGGTCAAGCCTATAGTACATGGGGAAGACTCGCTTCAGTCGAATGCAGCACAAGGAGGTGAGAAGGTAAACACTATAGCAGAGAGGATACACACACTCTCCACTCAAGTAGAGATGGTGGATCTATGACAGGTGGAACCAGGGTGAGCAGGAGACTTGCCTATAGAGGAATTCGAGAGTGACCAAGAGGCCTATGAGATGATTATTGCATACGAACTGCCAGGAACAGGCATAGTAACCCAGCAGAAACCTCTGGCACCCACAACCCCTCCTACATGAAACCAGGTCAAATGACCTAGAGACAGGATGATATTACCATCCCCCAAGGTGGAGAAGAGGCTGAAAAGTGGTCCAGTGGGAAAACTGGACAAAGGTAAAGGCAGGGAGATCCCACCGCCTGAACTGGTAATCCACCAACCCATGCCAGGCCCTTCGAATGTAACCTCCCTTTTCACTAGACCCTCAGTGTAGAACTCTTTCCCTTTCCCCAGAGCACCACAACGCACCTTGGTGGAGTGGACAAAGCGCAAGGAGGAACTCAGGAAGAAAATGAAAAGTGCATATATCCAGCCTTCGAACTTACCTGAGGGATGTGGAGCAATTCTGAGGTCCAGATAGTGGAAAAACCTACCAGGCCAAGGAGTGCAGACCCAACTGCCATGAGGACCCTTGTACCAGCATTGCTCCCATTCATGGACAAGCCAACTCACACTGGGAACACTGCGAGGATGTCTGAGCCCAAGGAAAGGAACTCTGCAACTTCTGGATCTACCTCGGTAGTCCCAGGGAGCCAAGGACAACCTACTGAAGACAAAGCATCTGCCAGGAGACTCACAATGGTGAAACTAGATGAACGGTCAGCAAAGATCCTCGAGGAAGTAAGAGAACAGGCTGAAGTGATATGAGCGGCAGCCAGAGCAGACTGGGAGGCAGTCAAAGAACATAGGGATGAGTTGGAATGTGAACATAACAAGTATGTGAGACAATACCAAGAGTTCACAGACAACAATGAATGGACCGAACATGAACACAATGTGGCCCTCAAAGGTTTAGAGGCAGTAATGGCTAGGCTAGTCAACTAATCGGCAGAGAGTGAGTGTCAATACCTGTACCCGGCTGACCTACATGTCATGCACAACTCCAAGGCCTCCTTTACACAAGGGACCTAGTGACCCTTACAGGGAGCAAAACTATACATATGTGCACCTACATGGTGCCTCACCAAAATCTAGGTGAGGAGAGCAATAACCTTCACTTACACTTCTTTACACATCTACACATGAGTAAACACAATACTCACAACAACCCACAGTGCGCAACTTCATAGCTGAATGCAGCATGGAAACTATCACAGAGTTGAGAACGGAACACCATAGACTACAGGATGCAGTACACCTGCAGGAGGAGCTGGCGATACAAGCCAAGAGGGAGAAACCGAAACCAATCCTCTCATCACTTAAAGGTAACACCTTTGACAGAAATTCTAAGCAAACACTGAACTCTGTCCCAGTCCAAAGCAGCAGCAGCAGCTTGCATATGAGCGTAAGGCCAGGACAAACAGAATTACTGCCATCAGCACTACCTACCACACCTCCAGGCTTCAGACATGTCATCAATCAGATGAGAGAAGACAAAGCGATAATAATGAACCCAACTTTCGATACCCTATGATGCCACATAGACAATGTCAAAGCAGGCACTACAGATGCAGTGAGCCACTTTGATCCATCTGTCATATGCATTCCCGAGGAAGTATTGAAGAATCTTTGCAATAGAATGAAGAAATACATCTCTATCACCTGTTTTTCAAGAGAATACTGCAAGGTGGAAATGGGGAGGATATACAAGTCAAAGGAAGGAAACTTGATCTTGGAAGGAGAAAAGCTCCGGGTGAAAGAGAACACCATCAAGGCACCCGACGAGAATCTCATCAGCTGTGAAACGTGGTCAGATTCTGCAACCAGGGCAATAAAGGTTATCAATAAAGAGCTTGACATGGGCAACAGGAAGAATGGGAAGGTTACTCGATACATAGCGAATCAATACACGCAATACTACATCTACTGGCTCAATTTCAGTGGGCTCCAGAAATTCTTCCCCATACTATGAAAACATGACCCAGCAAGCAGATACAAAGTATGGCAGAAGCGCCACATGATCCAGCTATTTCCCATAGACCAGCAGAGCTGGATGTATGCAGTTTCCCTTTACAGCCTGAAGAGTCTCGAAAGACTACAGCTGGGCCCTTCGTACCAACAACCATTCTTCCTGGGACCTGTGTGGCCCACTCAGAGAATGATTACAGCATCGCCACATGCAAACTTGACTCAAACCAAAGTAAACAAGAACCTGGGCACCCTCAAATGCATGATCTGTGGATCTGATGAGCACCACTTCTTCAAACACCCGAAAAATGTTCCGGGCCTGACAATTTCCTTTCGATGAAACCGTTGGCAAGACAAAGACAGAAATGGATACTGCATTGGGTACAATGGCAGGGAGAACTGCAGTGCCTCCCAGTGCAAGTACAAACATGCTTGCTTGATCTGTGGTACAACTGACCACAACACCCAATGACATGCTTGAAGAACTATTCCCAATAGTCACTCTCTTCAAACACTGGGTATGGAGAAAGATGCTAGAGGATGCTGGCATCTTAGAGGAATACACAGACATCCCAGCTGGCATCAAACACGGCTTTCTAATAGGACTCGAAAAATTCACGCTATCAAAAACCTTCACACCACAAAATCATTCCACAGCGCCTGAACATCTAGCATTCCTGCACAAGAAATACAATGAAGAAATCAAATTGGGGAGGCTGTTGAAGGGATACGATCCCAAAGAACTACAGAAACTGATAGGTAAGAAGCCACCAGGAGCTAAAGGAACACTATACTGATAATAAAACAGGAAATTACTGAACAGCCCTACTCAGCATAGCGGAAACCTGTCCTGGAAAGCTATGAGTAATAGTAAATCACTCCTATCCTAAGACTGCAAAATGTATTGACCTACAAGCTCTAGCAGACCAAGAAACACAGATTCTGATCAAAATAGATCCTAGCATGACATCCATCAACACCATCATCGACTCAAAAAAGTTCCAGTGCACATGGGGCATATTCTCAGAGTGCTACATTATGATTGCAGAAGCACCCCCAGGTACCCAGGTTGCAGTATTTGACATTGAGGCAGCATTTTGCAATGTGCCAGTACACCTGTCAGCAAGACCATTTACAGCAGTTCAGATAGGAGACAAGATTCACCTAGATCCATGCTTGAATTTCAGAGCCTCACCATCACCGGGAATCTGGGGAAGAATAGCAGATGCGATGGTAAAGATTCTGCTCTCTTAAGGTGTTGAAGCCCTCCTCAAATGGGTTGATAATTTCATCTTCTTCTGATACCCCAAATGCAAATGATTAGAAAACACCTACAAATACACATACACCAAAGAGCTTATCTGGGCAGTAGCAAAGAGATTAGGATGGCCATGGGCACCATCAAAATTCAAACCATTTGACATAGAGTTCACCTACATAGGATTCCTTTGGAACATCAAAGAGAAGAAGGTTCAGCTACCAGCAGAGAAGAAGAAAAAATACCAGGTGAAGCTCGAGAGCTGGAAGCAAGGAGAACGGAAGAGCCGAGAAGAGACAGAATCGATTATTGGCACACTCAACCACGTATGTCTAGTTGTACCAGATGGAAGATCAAGGATGCCCAGCTTCTACAGATTCCGGGGCTTGTTCAAGACGACTGGGAACAAATTTATTCAACATACGATTTCATGAACGCTACAAGAGGACGTTGACTGGTGGAAGAACCAATTAGCTAAAGAATTCGTTGGTATCAACATCTGGAAGCCACCACCACCCCTGGATCTTGTGCTGATGGTAGATGTGTTGACCACCTGGGGAATCAGACTAATATTGGATGGGAAATGGCTAGCCTGGGAATTACTAGAAGGATGGAAGTCAGATGGACGAGAAATTGGATGGGCAGAAATGGTTGCAATTGAACTAGCTATATGCACGCTAAAATTGGCAGGCTACAAGAATGTACACATCATCATTTGATCAGACAACCAAGGAGTGGTGGGCACACTCAAGGCAGGATACTCGAGAGGTCCTCAACAGAATGACATCCTATGACGAATCATAACACTCATGCAACAAGAAGGAATATGGATCACAACGGTATGGATACCGACCAAGGAGAACTTAGCTGACGAACCATCAAGAGGAAAATTTGGATCGAAAAAAGATATCTTCCCTTTACCACTGAAAGTACTGAATCACCTGAGAAAATACATATCAAATTCTGTACAGCATAATGATAGCAGATTAGAATAAATGAACAGTTACAAATAAAAATCAGATGAAAGGAAAACAAACAAAGGACAAACAATCAAACCTCCATCAGACTACTACTATCCTTGCAACGACAGAGCTGCTCACACATGCACACCAACCATCAACCAGAAATGAACCATACAATCATAAATGAGGCCATAAGGAGAGCCAAGGAAGCCAGACTGAGAGTGGAAAAGAGAAGAGAAGAGATCAAGGTGAGATGGAACACAACTACAGAAACAAAACAAAGTGCATACAACAAACATTACAGGCAGGAAGGAAACAGCTAAAGAACTAACAGGAAGCGATAACATCAAGACTATCCACCTCAGAGGAAACACTCGTGTAAATGAGACGATAGCAGCAGCATGGGTGAAGAGCACAAAGAACAAGCACCGGGGGGGCCTCAAAGCTTACCTTGACTTCTGTAACAAGCACAAAGTACCAGAGCAGAACCGATTCCCAGCTGAAGACCAAGTACTATGCACCTTTGCAGCCTCATTCGCAGGAACAATGATGGGCGATGCGGTATGATTGAAGCTCAGAGGCATTCGAGCCTTCCACATTCAACACAACCTAACCTACAAGACCTCTATACGACTCAAATACACACTAATTGGTCTAGACAAACAAGCTCCATTGGATAGTAAACAACCAGAATGCCCACCAGTTACGAAGGAGATGCTCAAACTCCTGCATGACAAACTAAACCTCCAAAACACCTTCGACATTGCAGTATACACTCTAGCCACCATGGCATTTTATGCACAGATACGACTGGGAGAACTAATCCCTAAAAAGCAAAATATAAATGCCTTCGATGCCAAGGAACAGCCAACAGGACACCATCTAGCTCCTCCGCATACCACCCATGGATCTTGAATCCTCCACCTCCCTCGCATGAAAGTAAAACAAGTGAAAGGTGAAGACGTCCTGTTAAGCAAACAACTGGGCATCACAGACCCCATTGAGGCATTGAAGAACCACATGGAGAGAAACAAGATTGGAAAGAATGAACCCCTAGCCTCATATCTGTGACACAGAACTGACAGGAGATGTGTCTCTAGAAATGCATTCATCAGGAGGTGCAATCAAGTCTGGTCTACAATGGGTTTGGAGAGATTTATGGGCCATTGCTTCAGAATAGGCAGGACAACATACTACCTAGTATGAGGCATAAATCCGGACGTTGTAAAAGTGCTAGGCCGATGGAAATCAGATGCCTTCCAAAGATATTGGAGAAACCTGAAGGTGCTAGGAATCTTACATACAGAGAGACTGGAGATGACGGCGAATAACCGAGCAGCAGAAAGATACAGAAGAGGAACAAAGTAACGAGGAATAACAAGGCAGAGGCTTGAGCGAGCTCAATTGGGTGAGTCTCATGGAATCCCAGACATGCCTCTGGCTTAGAATCTGATGGGTTGTCCCCTTTAGGTTCCATCTCGTCTCACCACAGGCATTCTGTCCGAAAGAACAGAATTCTCCTCTCTCCACCTCAGCTATTACGGTCTCTGTGATGTACCAGATGTTCAATGCTAGAAGCAATTACACATGTATAATACATTCTATCATATACACATCCTATACACATGTCTCAAGCTCATGCAAATGACAAGCTGAATTGTATAGTGTCTCTGAGTTATGCTAGATTTTTTTTTGTAGAATATGTACTTTTGTACATAGCAGACTGCACTTGATAAGGTCAAACCAGAATGCTCACTTAGGTATAGGGCATACCCTCTAGTGAGATAAGAGAATAAAACTTAGGAAACTTAGACAAAGTGATCAAACCAGGGATCTACATAGGAAAATGTGTTTATGCACAACTATACTAGTTCATGTGAGGCTCTGTGCTGTTCTCTCAGCCATTTCCAGCATGGTACAATACTCACTAAAACCCCATTCTGGTTTATCCAGTCCTCCAGAAGGCTTTTTTTGTCATGTAGCATGCCTCTTCAGGTTGATAGTACTATTGTCTTGGTTAATACTTTTGTGCAGTATCTGTTCTTATTCACCAGCATACAGTTGATAGTCAGCCATCTATTCATCACATTAATCCATAAGACTTATATCTCATCATGCATATGCCAGGCTATAGATGTATCATCTTCTCTGAATCTGTCTTTGGCATCTAATCTTCTATATTAGGTACACCATCTCTCTCATCATTATCCAGTATAATCTTGTTGCTGCCATATTCACATTTCTCTTCACCACCCTAATTTATACCAGTATGGCACCCAGCACTAAGCCATATGTAGGAGAGATCCATATCTGTTCTGTCTTCTCTCAGAGTTTTTGGGCTAAGCCCTATAGTGTGACCTGTCCTTCAATAAAGCACTCCACAAGTATGTGTTCCATTGATTCTATAACTTTACAGTGTGGGCATTCTTCTTTTGCAGTGTATTAGGGTCCTAGCCATGCAATCTTTGAGAATGTTTATTATGTGTTTCACCAACATAAGAAAAATTTTAACCATGTGAAAGCACCATACAAGATAAGCATGAGCTTGTTCAGCTCACACAGCAAGTGGATGCAATTTGCAGAATCATCATCTTGAATGGTGGTTATGGGAAGGAACAGTGGAGTTTGAATTTTATTGAAAATTTATTATTTGTATGTTTGTCAGTAGCTTTCTATAATGCAGTTATGGCTTTCTAAGTAAGATGATATGATCAAGCATTAAGGCTGTGGAAGAAAAATGCACCTGTCACATGGTGCGAAGCAAGCATTGGAGACTGTGAACATAGACAAGATTCTGGTGGTGTGGTGTTTTCTGCCAACAGAGAAGAGTGAGCTAGATGTAATAAACTCAATTGTGCATGCACTGACAGTGATAGCTATAATGACCCTAATGTGAGCTCCAAGTATGTCTTTCCACCTCTCTCTCAAGCTCTCCACCTCCTCAAAAAAGCCAAACAGCACCTTAAACTCCTCCTCAGCTTTGGTGGCTGGATATACAGCCCTAGCATGCACTACTACAAGTACTCTCAGAATGATATCCAGATGCAAGGCTATGTCAAGCTCCAAGCACTGGACATCCATGTGCAGGGTTGGGGCAGGTACAGGTTCCTGATTGCCACAAGCTCCATGTTTGAGAGATGGATATGTTGATCAGTTCTTGGGACAAGGTTGTGGGTTATCAGACAAATCTGTATGTGCTGCTGATTGGTGCATCTCAAGCTGAGGATGGACTGGGTTGAGGAGTGGAGTGTATGATTATAGAGTATAGTCTGAGAGCAGTTGGCAGTCAGAATTCATGACATGACAACCATGTGCTGCATTCAAGATCCTGCATGGGGTAGAAGCCTTGTGGGAAGTACCGGTCTCGGCATTGGTCATTTTGGCATGCACAGACTCTGTGCATGAGTTTATCCACTTGCTAGCCATGGTGTTGGAAGCTGATGTCAGAACTGTGAGGTTAAATTGATGCCTGGACTCTGTTCATCATAACAATCTAGAGATCTTCACAATTGCTAGGTATTTGACATCCATACCTGGCAGGTACACATCTATAGATGTCACAGTATCTGTGACACCTGGGTGCTGCCTAGATGGTGGGTATGGCTCTTAATGTGACAAATACATATCACAAGTACCCATTAGAATACTCTCTTATCTCACCACCTTGCTCTCTCACAGATCTTCCTGGTGCCCAGACATGGCTCAGTCAGTCATTTTATCTTAGTCCTTAGTCTTAGACCTTAACTCTGAACTCACACATATCTACAGTCTCCCTCCACATCAAATCTCCATCTCATAAGCTCAGATCAATATCTTGTGACAAAGATTTTTCCATTGTTTTTCACCTGTTTTCTCACATCTAAAAGTGTTCAAAAGCCTCAGTTTGTGGCTTCAAATTGACCTCTTACTCGCTAAAATTGGCCTTGTTATTGCAGAATCATGGCAGGATCTTTGTTTTGGCAGAGAATGGAGAGCATATTCAAGCTATCTTGAGTTTGAATGGGTGCTTCCTTACATACTTGGTACTCCCTTAAAGCTCTTTTTTGACATATTCTGACACTCCCTTAGTGTCCCTTATCTGTACCATCCTGTGATGTTGCTCCCTGATCATTACTATCACTGTCCGACTTAGGTATCATTTTGTTCAGTGCATATCTTCTTCACTTTTAGGCTGTTTCTCTTTGTTGTTAAAGCATTTGAAAGCTCTCTTCAATACCTTTCAGATGATCTCAGCATATAAGACAGTCAGTGGACACTCATTCTCTGTGCATGTATATCATTGCCAGAGCTGAATAAGCAATCTGAACAAGGCAGAGTTGACACGGAAGAGTGAGAATCTGATTCAGGATTTGGTGAACAATGGGAAACCTCACAGAGTCTATGTATGCATTTTTATTTCAGTAAATAATATTTTTTTTCTCAGAAGACAGCCTCTCCAAGTTTATCAAAAGTAGTTTTGAAACATATTCACATGTTTATCATGTGATGAGAATCAATAGCAAGTGTGATGTGACTGTCCTGCTAGTTGTGCACATTGTCTCCCTACATAGTCAATTCTTTTGCCAATAAACAGTTTGCCCTGCTTGGCAGGGCCATGAGGGTACTGCAAATTCAAGATTACATCCAATATCATATGTATTATATTCACATTTCAAAATAGATACAGATTATACTCAAGAACTTTATCAAGAGGTGTGTCCCTGGAGGAAAGTGGATCACAGGCTGAGTTTCTCGCTGTCTTTCTCACTACTCTGTAAAAACTCAACCTCTTTGCTGCCATTGCAGATCTGGAAGGTGATTATGATTGTAGTGGAATTGAGACTGGTATGTTGATCTATAAAACTTGAAACACAGGTCTGTATCCAAGGTCTCATTGATGATGCATACTACTAGGCATTGCTGTGGTCCACATGGCTCTTTCTCATATTTGATCCACATTCTATGACAAACATTATTCAAAGTATCCATCAAAAGAAACATAACTCACCAGACTAAACCTAGGCATCTCATCATTTTGTCTTCTGTCAACTTCTCTGAAGAAGCCTCAAGAGCATCATTGAGATTGCATTTAAGGTCCATCTGTTCTACCACCAATTCTGCTTCTTTTTCCCCTCTTGATGCTGCAATATGATTCTCATATTTTGACTCCTCCTCCAGCATCAAATGGAGAATCTGAGGAAGGCCAATGGGCTTGTCAGTCTCCTGATGGCATTCTGTTGGGATAGCAATCCCAAGTTAGTGTTAGAATGCACTCAAAGTTTTGGTATTAGTAAGCAGCATAAATATTTAACTGCAAAAGTAGATATACAGAGTAATCTGTAGTAAATTCTAGAAGTAGTACAACATGTATCTAAGTACGACACCTCTCTCTCGAGAGGATAATTAATTCTCTCACTCACATATTCTCCTCTGTACTTCCAACAGGTTATGGGCCCTGGCCTTAACTGAACTACTTACACTGTTACCTACTCCACACTTTTGTACATTATGTGCACATAAAGAACCACATGGAAAGCCAGTCCGTTTATAGAATTGACTCTCTTAAGGGCCCAGAAAATTATCTGACATAGAAGATCAAGATGATCAATATCCTAACTAATTTAGATCTAATTGATTATGCAGATGGAAGCACTCCAGCCCCAGCAGAAGCAGCACTGGTGGCAGATTGAAAGAAGAGCAACAGGAAGGCTCTTTTGACAATAAGGTTGCAGGTTTCAGACAGCCTGCTGATGTATATTGCTGGTTTGAAGACTTTGGCAAAAGCCTGGAAAGCTTTAAAAGACATGTATGAGTCCAGGGGACCCATGAGAATTGTCCTTGTGAGAAGGAAATTCTTTAGAGCTCAGTGTGAAGAAGAAACATAGAGGAACATATTAGGACTATGAGGTCCTATCAGGAGGAGGACTTCTCTATTACACTGCTTACATCACTCTTGGAATCATGGAATTCATTCATTTCATCAGTGGATACTGCAGATTTGAAAGATTTCTACAAATTGATTTCCCAAATTCTCCAGAAAGACTTCTGATCCAACCACAACACTTGCAGCACATGGCAAGAAGAAGTCCAACTCAAAAATCACATGTTATGAATGCAGAGAAACCGGTCACACCAGGGCAAACTGCCCAAATGGAAAGAAGAATTCTGGAAAGTCATGGAAGGGGAAAGGGAAGAGCCAGACCCAGGCACATGTTGTCAAATCAGATTTGGATGAAGAAGATTATGCATTTTGCACTACAGACACTGCACTTGTTATGCTTGCAGGGTCATCATGGCTAGGGGACTCAGGAACAACTAAACATATAGTCAAGAACAGATTGCATTTTTCTGACTATGTTGAGACCCCAGGACATGAAGTTTTTGATGTAGGAAAGTCAAAAGGCTTGGAAAGGGGAACAGTAAAGATTAAAATGGTTGAAGGGGACAAGACTACTTCAGTTACACTGAAGGATTGTATTCACTGTCCTGAGGCACCATTCAATCTTATTTTGCTAGGGTGCATCATGGATGCTGGGTTTGAACTCAAATTCAAAGGATTCTGGATGGATATTATCTCACCATGTGATAAGACAATTGGTCATAGAGATAAGATTTCAAAGCTGTATAGCCTTGACATCATCACACTAGAAATAACTCAAGCCCATGCAATTAAACCGGCCCAATCATAGCAGAAGTGGCACCAAGTGATAGACCACTTAAATATAGGATCAGTAAAGAGACTATTCAGAAAGAAGATGGTCAAGGGTATGGATGTGGATGAGTCAGCTGAGCTCCAGAAGGATTGCAAAGCCTGCATAAAGGCCAAGCATCATGTTGAGCCGTTTCTGCAAGAAGCTCAAAGGGAATACACAAGAATAGGTGAAATGACATTTTCAGACCTATGGGGGCCAGCCTGAACTCAGGGTATCCATGGAGAAAGATATTACATTAGCTTCACAGATAGCAAATCCCAGAGGACAATGTTGTATTTTCTCAAGTCAAAAGAAGGTATGGAGATCCAAAAGAAAATCCAGCAGTACCAGAAATACATCAAAGTCCACAAAGGGGAGGACCTGAAGTTTATGAGGATTGATAATGGGAAGGAATACATTAATGAGGTGGTGAAGGAATACCTCCATGGCAATGGCATTCAGTTGAAACTGACTGCCACATATTCTCCACCCCAAAACAGAATCACAGAGAGAGTCAATTGGACCCTTGTGGAGCATGTGCATGCTATGCTAGAAGAACATCACTTGCCGAAATTCCTATAGCCTAAGGCAGTGACATATACTACGTACCTGAAGAACTGATCACTGACTAAAGCCATCAAAAATGATCTAACCCCTGAAGAAGTGTTTTGGGGCATGAAACTGGACATTTCAACACTCCAGGAGTTTGGAGTAAAGTGCTGGGTGCTGCAGCAAGATAACAAAAGATCAAAACTTGACCCAAAATCAAGGGAGTTCATTTTTACAGGTCTTACAGATGAATCTAAGGCCTGGAGATATTATAATTTTCAGACCAGACAGATTCAGACCTCAAGAAATGTTATATTCCTTGATGACAACACTAAAGAGCCTACAGACAATGACTATATTGTATCCCACCCTTCATCACTCAAGGGGGAGTCAGGAAACAATGTTGAGCAGACTCCAGGTGGAAATGATGACATTTCCAATGATTCCATGGCTGCCAAAATTGCTGAATCAAAAGGGGAAATGTCCCTTGATGCTCTGGCAACCAAATCAAAGCTTCCCATTTGGCATGGAAAGGTGATCGAGCCACAGACCAAATCAGTACAGATCACATCAATCAATCAACCAAGTTATCGGTTGCTAATAATCCAGCTGCAAGAGGCATGAAACCACCAGAATTGCAGTGTGAAATGTCACAGGAACTTTTGAAAACTGCAAATATAGCAGCAGACTATGTATGTCTGGGGGAGACTGCAGATAACCTCAGTGATGAGCCATTAAGCCTTAAAGAAGCCAAAACAAGGCTAGATTGGCATCATTGGAAGAAAGCAATGGATGAAGAATATAATCTATTGACTTCCCTGGGTACATGGCAGTTAGAGGAATTACCCCAGGACAGATCACTTTTAAATTGCAAGTGGACTTATAGATTAAAAAGGGATGGTGATGGGAAAATCACCAGATACAAGGTCAGACTTGTTGTGAAAGGATTTTCACAGGTTCTCGGCATTGATTTCTTCAAGACATATGCACCTGTTGTCAGGCTTGACACATTCTGCCTACTTATGGCCATTGCTGCATAAAGAAACTTGATTATACATGGAATGGATGTTGTTGGAGCTTACTTAAATGAAAAGCTCAATGAATCCATTTACATGGTTCAATCACCAGAATATTCTGATGAAAGTGGTAAAGCGGCACACCTCAAATTGACATTATATGGACTCAAGCAATCTGGCTGAGTTTGGA